TATATATATATATATATATATATATATTCCTACTTCTAAAAACAATGAGACGTGGAAAAAATGTCAAAGCTTAAATGAAGACTGTGTCATTCAATTCACAATATAACTTCCGGGCCTCTTAGAAACCTTGTGTCAAATTCATCCTTTCTGTTCCTCCTGGATTTTTCGTACCCATTGTGTAGTGATGTTTTCTGCGTAACAAAAGAAGCGTAAGTCAAGCATTACTAACGCTCTTGCAGCCAGCACACCCTCCAGATGCCTCCTAAGTTTGTTTTTGTTTTCAGAAACCGTTATTTACTGAAACTGGCATCGCGGAAGCAACAAGGCGGGAGCGTCCTGCGCGTCTGATGACTTTGCATTAAAGAAAAACAGAGCTGCGCGCACACACGCCATTACTGAAAATCCATAAAGCAGTTGTGCTGAAAATAGGCTGAACTGCTTTTATAAAATGGTAGAAAGAGTGGAGAGGAAAGATACTTAATAAGGAGGATAGAAAAGATAGTACAGTGGCAATAGTCAGATAAAGCAAACTGAAATAACGGTAATAATCCATTTTGAAAAAACGTTTTAAAGATTTTATTTTGAAGTAATCCCTACCCCCAACGTGGGGCTTGAACTCAACAGCCCTGAGATCAAGAGTCACATGCCCCTGAGCCGGCCAAGCGCCCCCGTTTTGAAATTAATAGGGAACTGAAAACATTCCTGCCCAAAAGCAAGAACCAGGCGAGGATGTCTGTTCTCCCCTGCTGTTTTAACGTTGGATTTTAAGTATCAGTTGATGCAGCTGGGCAAGAGAAAACAACCTGAGGCCTCAGAACCAGAAGAGAAGTGATAAGGCTCTCCATCTGCAGAAGATACGAGAGTACGCTCGGAAATACCAAGAGAATGACTGCTCAGCTGATGCAAACACAAAAGAATTCAAATCGTAGAAAGATACAGAATTAGTGTAAAAAAAGCCTTCAGAATGTAAAGAACTCTTAACAATTCCAAAGTAAAAAAAAACAAACCAATTTATATTTTTAAGTTTATTTATTTTGAGAGAGAGAGAGAGACACAGTAGGGGAGAGGCAGAGAGGGAGGAGGGGGACAGAAGATCTGAAGCAGACTCTGCTGACAGCACAGAGCCTGGTGCGGGGCTCGAACTCACGAACCGTGAGATCATGACCTGAGCCGAAGTCAGACCTCAACCGACTGAGCCACCCAGGCGCCCCTAAAAAACAAACCAAGTTAAAGGCAGGCACAAGATCCGAGTACACAGGTCTCCAAAGAAGACGTACAAATAACTAATAGATACAGGAAAAAATACTCAATGTCATTAGCCGTTTAGCAAAAGGCAAAGCAAAACCGCAATGAGATACCGCTTCATACCCCCTGAACTGGCGAGAATAAAAAGGACAGACAGTTACAAGTGTTGGCAAGGATGTGGAGAAACGGGGTCCCTCCAACATTGCCGGTAGGAATGCAAAATGGTGCTGCTACTTTGGAAAAGAGTTTGGGACCTCTTCAAAATGTTAAAAACGGAGTTACCATATGAGAGCATTTCCATCCTTAAGTATCTACCCAAGAGAGAAAAACAAACATCCACAGAATGTGTGCAGTGGCATTATTTATAGTGGCCAAAAAGGGCAGATAACCTAGATACTCATCAACTGATTGATGGATAGCAAACTTCATATGACCACACAGCGGAAGGTGGTTAAGCTGCAAAAGGCATGAAGTACTCATACCTGTTACAACATGAAGGAACCATGAAAACATGCCAGGTGAAAACAAGGCAGTCACCAAAGACAACATGCTGTATCATTCAAAAGAGGTGTATCTAGAGAGACAGGACATAGGGTAGCACACGTCCAGGGCCGGAGGACGTGGGATGTGGGGGCTAATGAGGAGGGGTTGCTACATGGGGCTTCCTTCTGGAGTGATGGTTGCACAACCTTCTGATTATGCCGCAAACAACTGAGCCGTGCACTTTATTTATTTTTTTTTTTAATTTTTTTTTTCAACGTTTATTTATTTTTGGGACAGAGAGAGACAGAGCATGAACGGGCGAGGGGCAGAGAGAGAGGGAGACACAGAATCGGAAACAGGCTCCAGGCTCCGAGCCATCAGCCCAGAGCCCGACGCGGGGCTCGAACTCACGGACCGCGAGATCGTGACCTGGCTGAAGTCGGACGCTTAACCGACTGCGCCACCCAGGCGCCCCTGAGCTGTGCACTTTAAACAAGTAATTTCATGATGTGTCAACGATGGTTCAATAAAGCTATTAAGAAAGTAAGAGCCTTGGCGTGTCTGGGTGGCTCAGTCAGTGAAGCGTCCGACCGTTGACTTCGGCTCAGGTCATGATCTCGCTGTTCATGGGTTTGAGCCACACGCTGGGCTCTCTACCAATAGCTCGGAGCCTGCTTGGAATTCTCTCTCCCTCTCTCTCTGCCTCTCTCCCACTTGTGCGCTCTCTCTTGCACACGCTCTCTCGCTCAAAATAAATAAACACTTAAAAAAAAGAAAGTTGGTATGTACAAACAGTACATATCAGTTGATATGTACAAACAGTAACCAGTTAGGAGATTAGGTGGAATTGAACATTGCATTTGCAGTAACAACAAAAATAACTGGAATAAATTTACAAAAAAAAAATGTCTAGGATATAAGGAAATTTAAAATCTCGTGGAAGATAATAAACTTTGATTGTATGCTTTCCTGGTTTTCTCCAACACTTTTGTATTTGTGCCTATGAAGATCTAAAACCTCCATTTTGACTGGAGAACATACACTTTTTTTCAAGGTGCAAAAATGAAATGAAAACCCAAAACATCCTGATAACGTGACCTTTTTTATTACTTTCTAATGGACATGTTTTTATGAAAATAACTATTCTAAACATAAACTCTCCCTCAACTAGTGTAGACCACAATATGATCATTGATTTTGCTAATAGTTTAGCATCATACTTTTGGTTTTCTTAAGGAAACCAATCTGGGTCAGTCTTTTTCAAGAAAAGAAAGAAATTCTACTTGGTAACCTGGAGTTCTTTAAAATATTCATGGGGGCGCCTGGGTGGCTCAGTTAAACATCCGACTTCAGCTCAGGTCATGATTTCACGGTTCGTGAGTTCGAGCCCCGTGTCAGGCTCTGTGCTGACAGCTCAGAGCCTGGAGCCTGCTTCGGATTCTGGCTCTCCCTCTCTCTCTGACCCTACCCCACTTGTGCTCTCTCTCTCTCTCTCCCTCCCTCCTTCAAAAACAAATAATAAACATTAAAAAAAATTTAATAATATATGTTTTGAGGGGGCGCCTGGGTGGCTCAGTCAGTTAAGGATCCAACTTCAGCTCAGGTCATGATCTCACGGTTTGTGAGTTCGAGCCCCATGTAGGGATCTGTGCTGACAGCTCAGAGCCTGGAGCTTGCTTCACATTCTGTGTCTCCTTCTCTCTCTGCCCCTCCCGCGCTCGCACTCTGTCTCTCTCTCTCTCTCTGTCTCTCTCTCTGTCTCAAAAATAAATAGACATTAAAAAAAATTTTTTTTAAATATACTCTTTGATATGTCTGACTGGCTCAGTCAATAGAGCATACAACTCTTAATCTTGGGAGTTGTGGGTTCAAGCCCCACAGGTGTAGAGATTACTTAAAAATAAAACTTTTAACATATTCCTTGATACAGAATGATCTCAAGTGACATTTAAATGTCCTGTTTCATGCAGTCTTACTGTTAGAAACCAAGAAGAACAGAGACCCAGGAGGGCCTCCCATGAGCTCAGACGAGAAGACCTTCCAACCTGTGAAGAAAGGTAAAGTCTCATTATTGTTTAGCTTACCAAATTGACAGAATGCTAGCCTTGTCATTTTGATTTTTTTGCACTGTAACACACAGTTCCTCTAACTGCAACTTAATAACATCAAATCATAATGTGGCACCACATTTTCTCTCTGCAGAATTCATTATGTGACAGGGAGAAAAATTAGTTCCGTTATTAATCTCATCCCTGCTAATCACAAATATAAATCGATGCTTCTTGACTAAACATGACGTTATCCTATTTTCATAAAGCAGACTTTTAAAAAGACCATAGTGAGGGGCTTCTGGGTGGCTCAGTCAGTTAAGCATCTGATTTCGGCTCAGGTCCTGATCTCGCGGTTCGTGGGTTCCAGCCCCGCGTCGGGCTCTGTGCTGACAGCTCAGAGCCTGGAGCCTGCTTCGGACTCTGTGTCTCTCTCTCTCTCTGCCCCTCCCCCATTTGTGCTTTGTGTGTGTGTCTCTCTCTCAAAAAAATGAATGAACATTTAAAAAAAAAATGTAAAAAGACCATAGTGAAACACACACATGTTTGGTTTTCAGGAAAGTTCTAAAGGTCTGTTTTTTTCTTAACTATAAATTTATACTTCAGCTAATGTATTACTGTTTTAATTTAAGTATTTTGGGGGGGGGAAAGTCGGGAAGAAAACACGTAAATTACTTTCCATGGTGTCAGATTTTTAAATTCTCTTTTTTTTAAGTTTATTTATTTATTTTGAGAGAGAGAGAAAGCAGGAGAGGGGCAGAGAAAGAAGGAAAGAGAATCCCAAGCATGTTCTGCCCTGCCAGCGTGGAGCCTGACCTGGGGCTCAAACTCATGACCACGCGGTCATGACCCGAGCCAAAATCAAGAGCTGGATGCTTAAGTGACCAAGCCACCCAGGCACCCCAAATTACCTCTTCTTGTTCCCGTACTGACTTACTTTCACTTCCCTATTCTAATACTTTTTCTTGGTATTATGCCTGTATAATTACAGATACTAGACAAATACCCTAAAAGTTGTGTTCAAATAGGTCTTGTATTACATTGCTTATTTTTGAAGGGAAAACAAAACAAGTAGCCTAAAAGGTTACTTAAGTGTGTGGGTTTTTTTTTCCCCATTCTTTATCTTCTTTATCCTTACCCAGATTTCTCAAAGTCTGGGAAGCATATTAAAATATTCCACATTTTGGGGCACCTGGCATGCTCAGCTGGAGGCGTGTGAGGCTCTTGACCTCAGGGTCATGAGTTTGAACCCCACACTGGATGCTGAAATTAGTAAAAAAAAATAAATAAAAACTTTTTTTAAATCTGGCAAAATTTATGAGTTTGTTTAAAAATAGCCTTTATCTTGAGGGCGCCTGGCTGGCTCAGTTGGAAAAGCGTGTGACTCTTGATCTGGAGGTTGTGAGTTCAAGCCCCATGTTGGGTGTAGAGATTACTAAAACAAACAAACTTTAAAAAATGACTTTTGGGGCGCCTGGGTGGCGCAGTCAGTTGAGCGTCCGACTTCAGCCAGGTCACGATCTCGCGGTCCGTGAGTTCGAGCCCCGCGTCGGGCTCTGGGCTGATGGCTCGGAGCCTGGAGCCTGTTTCCAATTCTGTGTCTCCCTCTCTCTCTGCCCCTCCCCCGTTCATGCTCTGTCTCTCTCTGTCCCAAAAATAAATAAACGTTGAAAAAAAAAAAAATGACTTTTATCTTACGTATTCTAGTATGTTATATTCTGTACCAAAGCTTTAAGGCTCTTCTGTCTGGAACCAGAATGCCCCACATCTAGGCCTGGCTGTACCCATCCTGCCAGTGTGAACTCGGGCACTTAGCCACACTCTGCCTCAGTTTCCTTGTGTGTGGAATGGGGATAATACTAGTTTATTGTGGCTGTTGTCGTGAGCCTGGGAGCACGCAATATTTGCTGGCCATTACTTGCTCTCGATTAAATTCAATAACGTGAAATGACTCTTTCTAACTTAATGCCTTGTGTTTCCCATTCTACTTAGACATTATTATTTGCATTTGCCTCGTATGTCTTTGCCTGTCTATTTGTTCTTAATTTTTTAAATACTTAGTAAGCTTCCTGAAAATAGCATTACGCCGGATTTTGGCCCAGGGTCGGTCTGTCTCTAAATGGGGAATTAGAATCCAGTTACAGTGGGTCAGTTGTTTTGATGATGATTGGTAAGTTTAATCTTCCAGCATATTCTTTGAATCCTGGTAAGACCTCCTAATTATTTCCTTAATTTCTGCTTGTTTGGTTTGGGTTTTGGCTTTTGCTACATGAACTGTGCCTTCTTTGCTTTTAGGTTCTTCAGTACTACGGAAAGTATATGCTCCCTTATTTTAAATATTTTTATTATTTTTATTATATTTTTATTTTTGTAAGTAGGCTCCACCCCCAATGTGGGGCTCCAACTAAACGATCCTGAGATCGAGAGTTGCACGCTCTACAAACTGAGCCGGCCTGGTGCCCCTGCTCTCTCCTATTTTAAAAATAATAAATAAGTAAATAGTAAATAAATAAATGTCTACTACCGATTGCCTTTAAGTTTTTCAGAGTCATTCTTTAATATATATTTCTTAAATTGAAGGAGTAAAAAGGTATCTTTTGAATCCTCCTATTTAAGGAACATAAGTTAACACACTGTAGTCAGCCACACCAGTTTGATTAACCTTTCTGAAAAGACTCCAAGATTTTTATGCAGATTACTCTAAATTATTATGCTTTAAATAATATTTTCAACATCTTTTAAAACATTTTCTTTCAAAACAAATTTTCCTAGGGGCGCCTGGGTGGCTCAGTTGGTTAAGCATCTGATTTGGGCTGAGCTCATGATCTCATGGTCCTTGGGTTCGAGCCCTGCATCGGGCTCTGTGCTGACAGGCTCAGAGCCTGGAGCCTGCTTCGGGTTCTGTGTCTCCCTCTCTCTCTGCCCACCACACCCCCCCCACCGCCGCTTGCACTCTGTCTCTCTCTCTCCCTCTCAAAAATAAACATTAAAAATTTTCAAAAAAACAAATTTTCCTAGTTATGACAGCTACCTTAGGTTTTCATACACAATACTTTTTTTCATGATGAAAAATCTACCCAATATGGAAACAAAACCCCAACACTACAAAAGTTTTGCAGTAAAAACCCAGTCTTCCTTTTTTTGTAGACCTTGCCCCGATCTCCGGATGTAACTGCCATCAGTGGTTTTTCTATATATCCTCAAAAGGAATTTTCGATGCATTTTTACACAGTTGTATTGAAATGGGATCCTTCTATACACAGTGAATCTAATTTAGAAACTAAACTCGAAAGAATGGTTTGAACATCTATGTTCTTTTTTGTTTGCTGACTACTTTCTATAACCCATTTCCTCCGGTCTTGAGCTTTTATGCATGCTTCACTGCTGGGTCATTATAATCCATCTTCAAGATACAATTTCAAGAAAGGGACATAGAATTTACACCACGAACCTCTGTATATGTGAGTGTGTGTTTTCTATGAATAACTAGGGCAAGTAGTTACATATCCGATTTTTGGGTACCCAGCCCGCACCCCTCAAAACTGAACACAGAACTTTCGGCAGCATGGCGGACTAGTAGATCATCGGAGCCCCCCCCCCCCCCCCCCCCCCCCCCGCCCGGTGCAGAACAACAGATTTTGCATGATTCTCAAGTTTTTGCATCGCTGGACTCATAGACAGTAAGGAAAACAACAAAGTGCCTGAAAAACAAAACCAAATGAAAAATAAGCACAACCCTGAATGGTGACAGCTAAGCACCGGGCAGGAGGGTTTTCTCTGAGAACAAGTGCAGAGCCGGGTGGGGACAGGGCGTTGAAAGGGACATCGCAGCTTAAGCCCTGACCTATGAAAGGAGCCCTGGTGGTCCTGGGTCAGTGACACCTCCTAGATGTATTTCCAAAGAAGCAGGTACCCACCCTCTCTAGAGGAAAGAAAATCTCCCCAATTTTCACTCTCCATTTTCTAAAGGCGAAGACCAACCAGAAACTAAACTAAAACTAAAAAAGGACACAGCCCCCAAATGACAGGCAGTAGAAACAATACTTGGATTCAGAGCCTGAAGGACTTCAGGTATGAGAATTATCTGTAATACAATGTAAAATAATCGTCTCTGAAATGTTTAAACCGATTAAAGGTGGAATCACAAAAGCAGAATTCAGCTATCAAAGATGTCCAGGAGGACCGTGGAGTACTGTAGTTTTGCAAGACGTCACCTCGGGGAAAGTGGGCACATGGTACATGGGATCCCTCTGTATTAATTTTTTTCTTTTTAATTTTTTTTTTCAACATTTATTTTTGGGACAGAGAGAGACAGAGCATGAACGGGGGAGGGGCAGAGAGAGAGGGAGACACAGAATCGGAAGCAGGCTCCAGGTCTGAGCCATCAGCCCAGAGCCTGATGCGGGGCTCGAACTCACGGACCGCGAGATCGTGACCTGGCTGAAGTTGGACGCTCAACCGACTGAGCCCCCCAGGCGCCCCCCCCCCTCCGCCGTCTCTTTCCAGTGTTAAAAACCACGAAGGAGACACAGTCCCGTTGCTGTTCTGGAAGGCAGTGTGCTGAGGTCTGCCTTAGTCCTGTCGCGGGGGACTGGAGAGTTCTGGTCAGCTGCTTCCAGGAGTTTTCTTCACTGTTAACAATTTTAAAGCTTTGCCGGGACTCCTCTAGGTGCAAACGCACGCGTTCACAGCAGCAATCCTAGCGACTGGTGTCCCGGCAGTTCGGCAGTGGCCATGCCCTCCAGCGAGAACAATCGAGAACAATTTCACACGCACGTGTTTTTGCCAGAGGCTTCAGGAAATGGGAACAGCTCGCGCTCTCTTCCTAGGCGCCCGTTTCCATTCTCGGTTGGGGAAAAGGTGCGTTTCTGGTGATGCATTGCGAAGACCAGTAACCGGGGTCCCCCTGGCCCTTCTCTTTCTGTCTCCACCAAAGCCCAAGCCCCACTCTGGAAGAAGTCAGCGCCTGGGCTCAGTCGTTCGACAAGGTAATGCTTACCCCGGCGGGAAGGAATGCCTTCCGGGAGTTCCTCCGAACAGAATTCAGTGAAGAAAATATGCTTTTCTGGATGGCGTGTGAGGAGCTGAAAAAGGAAGCTAATAAGACCGTTATCGAAGAGAAAGCAAGGACAATCTACGAAGACTACATTTCCATTCTTTCTCCGAAAGAGGTACGTACCCTACTCCAGAGGTTTCCTCCCAGGAGGCCGTTGGTCAAATGAACCCCCTCAGGGTCTGGTCACCTGACATGGTTACAGTTACTCCAGAATAGAGAACACACTGCACCCAGACTCGTGGCATTCGGGTGCCTTTGACTGTGGTCTCACAAGCGGGCTCTGAGTGCCCCCTAAACGCTGTGCCTTTTTCTGGGAAAAAAAGCATTCATGACTTTCCTCACATTCTCCAGGAGGGGGAGTCTGTGCATTTTATTGTAAACACCGCTTAAAACTATTCTACCCTGTAAGCATTTCTTTAAAGAAAAGTATCCCCTTATTCTGAGCAAAATCTTTTTCACAGGTATTTTTATTTTAATAGAAATAGCATCACTGATAGGATACGGAGGCCGCGTAGGTTTTCCCTAGTGGGTCCTTTCCTTATAGCAGAGAAATCAGATGAGTGAAATCAATCAAGTTTCCATCCCCAGTTTTTGTTCCTCCAAAGCTAAAATCTAGGGGGTCAGGTTGATCTCAAACCTAGTATCTTGTAGCTCTAATTGTAAAATCACCCATTCTTTCCTCCTACGTGCCCCTAAGAATATCAAGTCAATAAACCAGGGCCTCTCCTGTCAAGGAGCTCGGTCAAGGGGGCAGACAGACATGGAGTCCCTCGTGTGCCACATGGGCTGGCGGAGTGAGCCATCAACGGGGGGGTGGGCCAGGAATGAGGCACAGGAACTAGGAGATGCCATGGACGAACTAAGGATGTGAAAAGGAAATGACCAGAAACACAACGGGATGAAGACATCCCAGAGGACGGGACTCGATGTGCCAAGGGTAAAAGCATGCAGTCCCGTGAACTGTGAGAACGTCAGTAGTTTGGCACACTGACCGTGACACGTCTCCCAAACCACTAGGGCTGCTGGTAGACAGCAGGAAGAGAGTTCAGGAAAGGGGGCGGTCTAAGAGCATCGAAGCGTTTGGGGGCCATGCTGAGGTTTTCTGACGGTCATCTTGGGAAGCCCTCGGATGTTAGCCTGGCAACATCGTCGAATTTGGATTTTCAAAAGACCAGTGTAGCTGCACAGTGGATTAGGAGGAGACGAGAGGCGGGGGAAGCTACCAGACTGATTACTGCAGACAGGACACGATGAGCCATAGTGGGGTCAGCTGGAGGGAAACCAGAGAGGCGGGGTTTCATTTGAGGTGAATCCCAGCGTCTGGACGATTCCCACATGTCTGGGCGGGCTGGACGGCGGCGTAGTTCGTGGAAACTGGGCAGACAGGACGGGGATCATGCCTGGGAGAAAGACAGCGGGGCTCCACTTTGCTTAAGTTTGTGTTTTTACGTTGGAGCTACTCCGCTGACAGACGTTATGAATGTAGAGTTCAGAAAAGTCATTTCCAGTTTGGGTTAACAAAAGCAAGAGAATTTTCGTCCTTCAATATATGGCTTCTACACATTCTTATTTAGTCATGATTTTGCTTCCTTTTTTTGAGATGCGATTTGTCATCACTGACTTTTAAAGCATCAAAGAACCGAAACACTTGTTACCAAACGTGTGAAGCAAAAAAGGATATGAAAAGGTGACCCTTTCTTCCCCAAAGTAGCCATCTATTACTTGAAATATAACAGCATCGACATTTTTAAGAGCTTAGATTTTGGGGTCAGATGCACTTGGGTTTGAACCCTGGTTCTCTCGTTTAGTGGCTCCGTAACCTTTGGTATATTTCCGCACCTCTCTGGGCGTCTGTTTCCTCATCTGTACGAAGGGGACATCACCATGTCCCTGTTCGTTTGGGAGGATTACAAGGGAGGACAGGTGCAGAGCCCCAACACAGCACCTAGCAGAGTCGTCACACCCTGGGTGGCCCCTTCACGAAGCAACCGTCTGTGTCCGTTCCGTCATCCCGAGCTGACGCTCCCAGAGACCTTCTTCGTGCGGAGGCCGCAGAGAACGAAGTAATTCCGTGTGCCGCATCTGTGTGTGAGCTAGAATGTCCCCAGTGGTTTCTGTAGTACTTCGGTTTAATTCTCCAACAAGAGCAGATGATTTCTTCTTCCTTCCAGCCAATGATATGTATCAAGCCCCTCCTTCGGCAGGAGCCGTGTCCCTGGGCCCCCCGGGCCTGACACTCGGGAAGCTTCTACGAGAGGACTGCCTCGTGCTGAGGGCTGCCGCAGGAATAAGCTTGGGGGCCAGGGGCCAGTAAAGGTTCTTCACGCAGCAGGGAAGATGTGTGAGTTCAGTTCTGCAGCCTGGGGAAAGTCTGAGCCCAGCGGCTTGCTCTGGTCTGGGAGACAGCCTTCTCTAGGACGAGGCAGACATCAGAGAAGGAGCCGACATCTACTAAGGACTTCCTGAATTCCACGCACTTTAAATAAATTCTCATTAAATCCTCCCACCCCCCAGCTACCGTCATCATCATCCCCTTTGTGGAGGAGTTCGCTAGGGCACGGTTTACTTTGCCTAAGTCCCCAAACTAAGCGGTGGCATAGCTGGGATTTAAACACAGGCCCTGTGCGCTTTTAACCCTCGCACAGTGCTCTGAGTTAGCTTCCATACGGCAACCGGCCGGACATTCCTGGAAATCTGTGACTGTGTTCTTAGCTGGCTACAGCCTGGGACCTCCAGGTTTTAGCCCTAATGGTGTTAAGAAATTAGCAAGGGATAAGTTTGTGCATGCTTTTTTCTTCCAAGGACATTGTACATTTTAAAGAAGGAAAACGGGGGCATCTGGATGGCGCAGTTGGTTGAACATCTGACTCTTGATCTCATAGTGTGTGGGTTCGAGCCCCACATGGGGCTCTGTGCTGATGGCACAGCCTTCTTGGATTCTGTCTTTCCTTCTCTCTTCCCCTCCCCAGCTTATGCGTGTGCTCTCTCTCTCTCTCTCCTTCAAAATAAATGAACTCAAAATAATTTAATAAATAATAAATAAATAAATAAGGAAGACAAGGTTGGGGTTTTCTGAAGCATCGCGATCCCCACTAGCATTACTTGTGAGAAATACACATCGTCACGCCTTCCCCACACCTACCGAATCAGACACTCTGCAGGTGGGGCCCCGCAATCTGTTTAACAAGTGGCTTCTGATGCCGCTGAAGTTAGAGAACCCCTGTTCACTATGTGTTCCGTTTCTCTTTCAGCAATTTAGATTTTCGGATAACTTTGTTTGGTTTGGGATTTAAAAAAAAAAAGCCACGGGAGTTTGGGATGGGTCTCCGGAGAGAAACAGATCTAACACAACTCTTACTTGTTTCGATTGGCAGGTCAGCTTGGACTCCCGCGTAAGAGAAGTCATCAACAGGAACATGGGAGAGCCCTCCCAACACATATTCGATGACGCCCAACTTCAGATCTACACCTTAATGCACAGAGACTCGTATCCCCGGTTCATGAACTCTGCCCTCTATAAAGATTTGCTTCAGTCCTTATCGGAGAAATCAGTCGAAGCATAGGATGTTATCAAATGTATTTATTATTAATAAAATAATAAAAGAACTCATGGACTATGTCTAGTACAGGGAACTTAGAGACAGTAGTATCTTCTTGCCAGAGTCATCCGCGGGCTATTTTAATAACAGATGCTTCCTTCCACAGAAGGCTATGTATTCAGAATGTCAGTTGCAGCCACCGTTAGTGACACTTTTGGAAAACGACGGGTACGGCCGCCTTAGAAAAAACAGTGCCATTATCAGACCCCAGTTCCCATCTGACCGAGATGTGTCACCACTATTCATAAGGACGGTATGGCGCTCTCAGAAGACGCGTATGCAGATACATATAGGTGCATGTGTATCTATACCAGTTAATGTAAGGAACTGTGCTCTTAGGTGGGTCGGTCTCCTGTTCCGTAAGGGAAGTAGTGTTTAGAAAATTCTTTTGTTGACAAGTCACTGTTTTATCATCGCAATCTGCCAGCCTAAAGAATGGACTTTTAACTCACAGCTTAGTCGCGTTCGTAACAAAACTTTCAAAGAAGCGTATTTCCGTTTTTATTATTCGAAGAAATATGGGCATTTTCACTCTAAAAAAATAAAGCACAAGAGTTTTATCTCTTTTTTTTTTTCACATGTCGGTATTTGGGAACGTCCGGTTAAATAAGAAGGGTTACATGTGAGGTTTAGGCTCTGGCTTACTACTTTCCTTACTAATCTGTAGGGGTCCCCCGGGTCTTCTACCCCTTTCTCATTGTTTCAATTACTGCCAACATGCTCGTGGCTCCCAAATTAGGACCCGGTGTAGATTTCCTCCAGCACGTCACAATCAGCTGCCGGCCGGACACCTCCCCTCGTATATCCCAGAGGAGTGAAACTCATCCAGATTCTGACTTCTCATCCCACTGGCCCCCCACCTCCAAGCCCCTCCCCAATCACCCAGCCAGTCACCTACGCTCCTATCCAGGTGCTAACTTTTCCCTGCTTTCTCCTCGCAAACACAATCGCCAAGCCCGGCTCATCTTTACTCAATATTTCTCGTGTGTCTCTTCTTCCTTCTTCCCATCCCCTTGATCTCACGCCTGCCATCATCATTGCCAAGAGCCCCCTAACTGGTCTCCCTGCCCCAATCTCAGCCTTTCAAATCCACCTTCCAAAATGCCACATGTTTCTTACACGCAAACCTGCCCAACATCCTCCCTCTACTCCTTAGAATCTTTAGTAACTCCGGATTGCCCAGAGTACAAATACCAAATTCTCATTACAGCGTACAAGCAAGGGCCTCTATAGTCGGGCTACGGCTCCCTAGCCAACCCCACACAGGTTTAGATCCTAGAATATATGCTTATAGACAAGGCACTTCTTACCTTCATAACCACTCATACCGTTCATACCCTCCGCCACCTGCATCTACAACGCCACCCTTCAGTCAGCTAACTCCAGTCATTCCTTTAAGATTTACCCACACACGACTGACTCCAAGAAGCCTTACCTGACCTCCTGATTCATACTTCCATTGTGCTGGGTGCCATTCTTTAGGATTCCAGGATTTTCCTATATGGATACTTACCTGAGTTTACAAATTATGATTACCAATCTGTCCCATTAGACCGAAAGCTCCAGTGGCATTGGAAATAAACCTTATCGCTCATTATATACATAATCTAGGAACAGTATTTGATAAATGTTTGTAGAACTGGAGAGTTATACCACGAAAACAGAATTTCCCGTAATTAAGAAAAAACAAACATTCCATCCCAAATTTGTTTCACAATGTGTCACATCTCAGAAAGAGATCATCACAGCCCATGTGGCTATGGAACTCACGACTACTACCTACTAATCCAGTGAGTAAATGGGTAGTGACATCTATGTATACGAAAGAATCCGGAAGCCACTCCGAAAGTATCCTTCAAATTCAATGCAATTCCAAGGTTTTTGAATATTCTTAAGTAAACTTTGAAGAGTTTGTTGGGGTGGATGGCGCTCCATTTGGAAAAAACTGATAAATAAATAAAAATCCCGGGACGGTTTAAAGATAAGAGCTTTTTAAAAAAACATTATAGGGGCGCCTGGGTGGCTCAGTCGGTTAAGCGTCTGACTTCGGCTCAGGTCGTGATCTCACAGTTTGTGAGTTCAAGCCCCGCGTCGGGCTCTGTGCTGACAGCTCGGAGCCCGGAGCCTGCTTCGGGTTCTGTGTCTCCCTCTCTCTCTGCCCCTCCCCTGCTCACGCTCTGTCTCTTTCTATCAATAATAAATAAACGTTAACAAATTATTTAAAAAGATTAAAAACGATGGTAATAAAGACAAAAAGATTAAACCGAATTCAAATTCAAACGAGAGGATAGTGGTTACTATTTCCCCTCTAGATTTGCCAAAACCAAAGGTTTGCTAGGATCCACTATTAGCAAACGTGTCAGGAAATGGGCCTTTCTATCCTGTTGACAGGTAGGTAAACTAGTTTGACTTTTTGGAAAGCAATCTGGAAATATCTATCATTCTGCATATACATATCCATTAGCTGAGAAGTTAAACTTTAAACCTGTGAGATCATGACCTGAGCCGAGATCAAGGGTCGGACACTTAACCCACTGAGCCACCCAGGCGCCCAAAAAACTTTTGTTCAGTTGCTTGTTAGAGAAATGCAGATCAAACTGGCTAAAACACAAAGGAAATTGAATGGCTTTCCTGAGGAGAAGCCCAGGGTAGTTCCTGCTTCCCCGGGATTGGATCCAGACACACAGTGTTCTCCACACCGTCTCTCCATCTCAACTCCCCTCATCACACAGAGACCCTGTGCACATCGTAGGCAAAATGGCAGAGCGAAGCCCTAGGCGCAGTTCCTGCCCGTTTAGCTATCCCAGTAGAAAGTGTTTCTCTCATCTTTCAGACAGCAGGCTCAGGGAAGGAGTGTGGAGTGGAGGGGAACACTGCGGCCGACCCCCAGGGTCACACGGAAGGAAGAAGGCTAAGTGGCTCGGACAAGATGTTTGGGCACTAGTGCCAAAAAGACGACAGGGGTAGCTAGGGCATTCCATTCCAGGCCTCTCACGGTTCCTGCTTTTTTATTTTACATCAGCTATACCTTCAAATGGCATTATTATAAAAATGATTTGGATATATGCCGTAAACCACGTTTAAGGGTT